CGTGGGTGTAAAGTTGTGCTGCTTTTTACGAGTTCAAATTTGCCGCTCAATAATACATCCCTAGTAACGGAAGTGATTGGAAACAAGGGGACGTAATAACTGATACACAGATCTAGCAGCCATGATGTTTGTTTACATGAGATAAGATCGAGCTACTGTTTAAAGTTAAAGGTACATTTATTAAATCTGGAATTTTCCATGAATCCCATGGACTGGAAATGAGGGGATTGCATGGATACAGATGATTCAGCTGATTCTTAATTGTTTAAATCATGACAACCTAATAAGGTTAGAAAAAAATGGGAATCAAATTCGATTATAATCAAATAATTTGGCCAAGAATTAAAGTCATTCCTTATAATTTAATTTTAAAATAATTAAACAACCGTGGGTGTAAAGTTGTGCTGCTTTTTACGAGTTCAAATTTGCCGCTCAATAATACATCCCTAGTAACGGAAGTGATTGGAAACAAGGGGACGTAATAACTGATACACAGATCTAGCAGCCATGATGTTTGTTTACATGAGATAAGATCGAGCTACTGTTTAAAGTTAAAGGTACATTTATTAAATCTGGAATTTTCCATGAATCCCATGGACTGGAAATGAGGGGATTGCATGGATACAGATGATTCAGCTGGTTGTCAAGGGGGTGTGTCCCAATACCAAACCAGGTTATTGAGAAATAATCTGTGTTCCTTTTTTTTGAAATCAACCAATGAGAGACTAGAATACAAACAAAATTGAATTATTCATAAATAACTATTCAAATTTAAAGATTAAATAATTATGTGAACAGTTCATTAACACGGTTTGGAAGAAGTGAGCATCTCCTGTTGACCGGACATACGCTATCTACAAATGAAAGGATATTAAAATTTTGGTTAAAACTGTTGGTTTTTTGGTTAATACATTTTCCGTAATTTAAAGAACACCTATGGTTTTTCACCGTTAGTCCACAATGAATTGAGAAAAATGATGCATATGAACTTTAATTAAGACAGCTAATTATTCATTATCCTGTTATCATGTGGATCTGTCAGAATATTTTAAATTACAAGATTTTTTTCCTGTTGGATCAGCATGCAAAATGTCATCTTTACTGAACTAAATTCAGGATAAATATATATCCTGTTGGAAAAGAAATATGTGTTGACGTAAATTGTGACGTAGATACATATATTGCGTAATACTGAGACCTCATAAGTAAGTAATTCGTAGGCTAAAATGTGTACAGACTAGACGCACTCCGTGCACAAAGCTAACAACACGATACCCCTGCTTCCCATATGATTATAATGGCAAAGTCCATGTTTTGTAATTGTAGACCCGAGATAAACTTTGTCAAAAGTAAAATAAGAGGTGCACAATGGCACTATGTAATAAAAAAATCTGTAAAAGTATCATTAAATTTTATTCAGTTATGTAAGAAGAGTAGCGGAATAAAGATTAGACACCCCTCAATATTCTAGAAAGAATGGTATTGTCTGTGTGACAGCCGAAAATATACGACAGGTGTTTAATAAATAATGTCCTTGGTGCTCGGAAAGAAGCAAAAGACACTTTCCAATGATTTAGTCTTAATGCTTAACTTAAATATCCTCTTCGAATTAAAACACATGTCCGTAACATTTTTATCCAATTTCTGATTGTTTTTAGAACTCATTATTGAGTATGGCCCTTCGTATACTGGATTTTGGCAGATCCTATGATTTCCTGGACTTGTTTCTTCTTTCTGAGAGGTGTTTTTTTTTTCAAATGTGGATAATGAACCAAGTCAAAAGGTGACAGATCTGGCGAATATTATTGTGTGACAAAATATGATATTTCCGTTTATCCCCCAAACTCCTTTACTCTTCATGGCGTGTTGGTTTGGACGCTGTCACGAAGACATTATATGTAGCGTATTCCTGATTATAGATCCTTACGCTCAAAAACCTTTCGATTTTTTTTACAAAATATTTGCTTTCAAGACTCTTCAAGAAATTGAACTGCCTTCCCTAATAAGAATTTGAACAACAAGACCACTAATATTTGAAAAAATGGCGTATAAAATGACTTTGTCCTCTTGCAATTCTTTGCTCTTTTCAGACCTTTGCTGTTTTTGTCAAGTGCATCCTATTGTAAAAATGATTTTAGGGTAATAAAGCAATGGAATCATGTTTAATTATCTGCTTGAATTTCAGACAAACGTGGATAACTACAATTTCTGATTTTTTTTTTTTAAATGATTGCTTATAATTCTTACACGATGTCGTTTTCACTCATTTTTCAAAACGTAGGGTGACCATTGTGTACTTAGCATTTTACTGTCAAATGTTTCTTTAAAAGAGTGTAAACTATCCCCAAATTGATGCCTATCAAATTTGCTATATGTGTTGTAAAGTTAATCAAACATCATAATTGATTATTTGATCGATTTTGGCAAACAGAACATTGGTTGTTTTTAGTCCTTGTCGCGAAGAACAGTGCCCATTTCTGTTGCCCATTACATCATTATTGTTCATTGAAATTCACCTACTCATGTGTCTATAAAACAGGCATTGGTTGCTGTAAATTTCACAAATTCCAATGAGTATTTCTTTGGGATTCTTATCAAGTTTTACAGCAGCTGAAATGAAGCGTTTATTTTCACTCTAGTCTACTGCATCTTTACCATTCATTTTTTATGCAGTGTCTCGAATAGCCCTTGTTTCCCAGCTTTTCACAAGGAAAATAAGAGATGAAAAGTAGTTACATAAACTGATATAAATTCATTAAAGACTAAATCATGAGAGAAAGTCTTCATACTTTTTCTATGAACATCTGATGACACTATAATCTTAGTTTAGAAATATCTTGTAAAATTATCAGTAGGTAAGGTACGTTGCATATGTCCTTAAGTAGTATTATCATTACAATTCAAGTATTAAGTTAAATTACTTGAACACAGTTCTAGTAATTACAGTTTAGATATTAATAAATTACTTCAACACAGTTCCAGTAACTACAATTTAAGTATTAACATTAAATTACTTCAACACTGTTCCAGTAATTACAATTTAAGTATTATTGTTAAATTACTTCAACACGGTTCTAGTAATTACAATTAAGTATTACTGTTAAATGACTTGAATATAGTTCTAGTAATGCATTTTAAGTATAATTGTTAAATAAATATACAGTAAATTCCAGTCATTACAGTTATATTATTATTGTTGCATAACCAAAAACAAAATTCTTTTTAGATAGGGGTCATATATTTCTGCGATATTTGACTTTATATACATCGTCCCGCAGTTCCTTACTCTGTGACTCTAGAGCAGACACACAAACCCACTACGCTAAGCGGGCGCGACTCTGTTCATCATCATATGACCCTCGAGTCAGGGGAAAACTTTTGGTACTTGGTAAACCATCCATGCCTGAAAAAATGAAACAAATATCCAAATATCCATTCTGAATATGACCCCCCCCCCCCATTATTTCGGGCTTAAAGCAGGAATTCTTGTCTGGTTTCTGACTTGATGAAATATTGCTTTTATACATGTATCCTATTTAATTAGATGTAATGAAATGATTTTAAACAAAGTTTAATATCTTTCAGCTAGGGACTAAATTTTCTGAAGGACAGTGGCGTAGGAAAATACTGGTACTTTTTTTTCTGTTTTTCAAACTACTATAGAACAATAAATTTCGCTAAAATTCGTACATAATCAAATACCTGAAGAAATTTTCAAATGTTAGTTAAATTAACATAAGGAACTAAAGTTTTAAAATATATCAAATAAATATGATTTCCCGAACAAACTACAACTAAGTCAACTTTTAAAATCTCCCAGTCTCAGTGCAGATTTGAGCCAATAATCGGTAAAAATGTTCTTCTTCTCTTAGAGAACTTTCAAAACTTTTTTAGTTTTTGTATCGTTTTGTATCTTTTTTTGACTACTTTATTATATTATGTGAAATTAAGATAATGTTACATATAGGAAGCCCATATTATGTGAAATTAAGATAGTGTTACATATAGGAAGCATAAAAAAGTAACAATTATATCCCAAAAGTTAAAGAAAAATAGATACAATTCGGATTAGGCAATATTCATTTTGGCTAAATTATTTATTTCAATTTAGTAATATCATCTGATAGACCTATCGTATAAGTGGAAATTTTAGCGAGACGCAAATTTAGTGATTTCTTCTTAAAAACTGGTATTTTATTTTTAGCGAGAAGTAATTTTAGCGATTTAAACTGTTCACTATAGAAACTAGTACAAATAACACGCAATTTTTTTTTAGCGATAATCAATTTTAGTGATCTCAAGAGCCTCGCTAATAATGCCAAAATTAAATCTTCGCTAAAATTTCTAATTATACGGTATATGTTAATATATCTTTATGCCAAAAAAAAAAAAAAGGAAAAAAATGTAATTTTTGGAAATAGAAGAAGACATCGTATGATTGGCAACTAAGAGTATTTTTTATTCTTAATGTCAAAAGACAAGATAATAACCTTGACCTGGCCTTGCTTTTAATATAAAACGATCAAATTTATTCCAATTGATACCATCACTTAGTCATATAGTCCTCTTGAATCTATGAAAAATTCATTAATTTTTAAATACAAGAAATTTGAGAAGAATCCCTTCTTAATGATATCAAAAAATTTAAATTTAAACTAAAAAAAATATTATTTTCTCGCTGCTGTGGTAAAAATAAAAAAAATATCTTTATAAAACAATGTTTCTGTAAATATAAATCATTTAAATGTCAATTTCTATGAAAAGGAATATGGATTTCTCTGATGGCTCCTATAGATATTATTTTTATGCATAGGAGTTGCCCTTTCCATATCTAGTAATCTTAAAGTATATCACTTAAATATGATTGGGTAAAGACTTATTGATTTTTACATGTTTCTTATATACAAGGTGCTTCACTGTAACCGTTCATAAGACCGCGATCATTCATTTTATAAAACCACAAAAAGTTACTCTTACGTATATCTATCACACGGAACATTATGAATAGATCGGACATTTCCGGAAATCTCACGAAACTGTTGGAAGAAAATGATACTTCAACAGATTTTGTTTTACAACCTCCTCCGATGTCTGACTACATACTGATTCCTGCCGGGGTTTTTATGATGATAGAGAACGTAATCTCTATAGGCCTATTGTATATCAGCACCCGCCTCAGTTTCCAAATCAGGATAATGTCTTTGAACTTGGCTTTATCCGATTTTTTGACGGGACTTTTCATAAGTATACCAAACACAATGCTTTATGAGAAGTATCACTGTGATATCAAAAAGTACCTGGGGTTCCTCTTCACCACCGTATCGCTGTTTATCATTACCATGATGAACTTGGATCGTTGCTGTGTTTTCGCTTTGGCAATGCGATACTACTCTTTCATCACGAAGAAACTGATGATAAAAATTTCAGTTATCCTATGGCTGCTAGGCCTGATCATGATTTATGGCCTATTCTTTGATTTTGAAGCGAAATACGGAATCTCTTGCTTCGTCATGGCCTTCGTGAAGAGAAATGTAGTGACATTAATTTTCAAAGTTATTCTTTTAATTATCGTGGCTTTCAATCTCGTCATGTTTGTTTACTTGATTTACCAAATCCGACTAAGGATGGGAAGAACTAGGGACAACAAAAACATTGTCCAGTCAGCTGTGTTTGCCCGAGAGCAAACAAGGATTGCAAGAAAAATCTCCATCATCACAGGCGTCTTTCTGATGGCATTTTTTTCCTTTTATGACCATTTATACATTTCCTTTTGATTTCCAATCGAAAACGGTCATACAGTTTTACACCATTTTTCTGACGATGATCCTTTTGAACAGCGGCTGTAACCCCTTTTTCTATGTCTGGAGATTCAGTGAGCCGAGATACCACATGAAGCGAATTCTCTGCTTCTCGAACAAAGAACGAAGACGGGAAATTAAAAGGAGGTACAATCAGAAATGCGCCTGTTACGTCATCGATCCAAACAAAAACTGATAATATGCCGATGAAGTAAAGGAATCGAACACGCTCACTTTGAATATATGTAAATGTGGAAGCTTTTTCGGAAAATTCATTTTTATTGTAGAAAAAAAATCTTGCTTAATAACTTTTACGTTGACTGAGATGACAAAAAAAAAACACTGATAAGAATGAAAAACTACTTGCTGTACGTTCTATTTCTCGGATTGTCACACTATGAGCAAAATTTCTTTACTTTATAAAATATAACATACCACAATACTCTTGAAATATTAAAAAAAATAAAAGAAATTTAATTGTTTTGCTACATGTAAATAATCATGTAGAGTTTGAACCATAATCTTTTTTAAGTCCAAGTTTCCTCTTTCTATTTTCTGAATTTTTAATCTAACATTACACACGAAAAAAAAACTGAATGATAAGAACTATAATGAAAATTATTCTTAGCCTCAGTTTACTTTTATTGCCCTTATTCTACTGGTTTTAAAATTGTGATGTCATTGATCAAATTATTTAGCTACTAGTATGTTGTCTGGAATGGTTTTTGTTCATATTTGTAAATGTCTGCATTGCATGTGATTAAATTATTATTTGAAATAAGACATGAACTGTAAAGCACAAATATTTGCAAAAAATGTCTAAAAACAAACAAAATCTTGACTTTGCATATGAAACGTGAAGAAAAATATCTTTTTGAAAGAAATTAAAAATTTGTCCGAATTTTCTTTGTACCACCATGTATTTTTTCCTTCTTGCGTTATTTTTTCAAATAATAACAAATAAATTAAAATCATTATTGTACTTTGATCATAGCATCGTGTTTCTGTAATCTGAAACCACAAGCAAACAGCATCCTTAAAAAAAGCACTGTATACAAAAGCCCACAGTTTTGACGTCACATCTGATTTTGCCTGAGACTGATGATGTTAAATAAAATTAGATGGATTCTTATTTTTAAAAAGTAATTATAAAACATAACATAAAAAGAACATTCCATGGTTTGTGGTTGAATATGATTTTAATGAAATGAAAACATGGTGATTTCTATTTTTAATTGACAAGAAATCCGTTTCATAATGATACATTTATGTATCCCTATTCATAGCGTCTTCGAGGGAATAAGTTATATAACATTTTGTATTTCACGTCGTGTTTTTAAATTGTAACGCCGCAATGCGGAGACAGAGATGGTTACTACTGAGTTAGATTGTATATATTGTTGTTTGATTGTGCCGAATCAAACCTGTAAAATATAAATATTTAGAAAACTGGTTTCATGGATGTTTTTTTTTATAATTACACAGAAGGATTGATATTATGCATGTTATGAAGCACGAACAGTATTTTAATTTACATCTGTTTTATATTAATTCTTTTTCATATCAAATGTCAACTTTATTCTTTATTTCCAGCATTGTGCTTGATTCGGTGTAATAAAGAATTTATCGCATGAATGTGAGGGAGACATGAAGATTTCTTTGCCTTTGAAAAATCATATTCCCCTCTGGCGTTGCCCTCGGAGAATATAGATTTTTATGGTCTCCCTCACTATCATGCAATAAATGTATATTGTAGAATGTGACATAGTGTTTGTTTTTAATTATCTATGAATTAAAACAATAAATCCTTATATAACATGTCTTTTAACCCTGCACTAGTCCGAAATATCTGAAGTTTTCCAGGCTTTTTTTTACGGTTTTGATATTTTTTGTGCCAGGAAACGTCAGAACCGGCGCCATTATGAAAACTGGAAATTTCGACGTCGCAAAAAAGCTTGATACAAGAAAATATTTTATTTTTTCTATCAGACTCAACAGTAAACACGACAGTAATTATCAGTATTTATCAAAAATAACTAAAATTATCAGCAACAACAGTATAATAACACTAAATATCAGTGTTTATCAGCAAGAACATCACACAATGAGTAATCATAAGACAAAAAAGGGTAAAATTTGGGATTCTCGTCATTTTTTTCGTCCAGTAGTTCAGAGAAAAAAAAAATGATTTCATTGAATTATTCAAAGTTAGAGATTTCAGTCAACTCGAAGATTATGGATAAGGTTCTGTCATTTTTTGAGATTTTGTTCGAGATGTATAAACAAAGTCTTGTGCTTCTCATTTAATTGTTGCAAATCGCTTTTAAATAATAGTTATTTTCAGTACCAATGAGATGTCTTTTAATTAAGTACTTGTTAATTTTTTAATTACTGATGTTTAAAACATGATTGTGACGTAAACCTTTTGTTTGTGTTGTCCATTCTATAGCTTAGTGTTGAGCTAACTCCCCTAACAATCCATTAAGTTACCTGTAAGTGTCCATTCTTTTTGGAAAACTGTCCATTCTTTTTAAGAATGGACAGGTAAAAACAAACAGAATGGACAGTTAAAACTTAACAGAATGGAGATTACAGGTAAACCTTGACATGTGCACAAGAGGGAAACAAAAACAAATTGATATATTAAGTACAATTTAATGTACATGTGAATAACAAAAAGAACTTCGAGATATAAGTTAATCCAGAACACAGTGTCTGCATCTGATCTGTTCGATTTTACACATTTAAATCCATAAGTAATGCCTATTATTTCAATTCACAAAACTTGAATTTAAATGACACAATTTCACATTTGATTAAGATTTTGGAAGCATCATTCCCTCGAGAAGAATCCATTCTAAGCTTGAAGTAGGCTTATATTAAATCCATCACCCAGAAAACAGTTTGCACCATGACATCTACACTGCTGCAGTGAATATCTCGGTAGCAAATACTAGTAATTAAAATTGAAACATTTCCAGATTTGATTTGATATACATTTTCAGGTCGAAGTTTGGCCCGAGGCTATCCAACACTCGGAACTCAATTTGCATTTCACCATTACACTGCTGCAATAAATACATCCTCAAAAACTGAATTCGAATAAAAAAAACCCAGATTTCCGGTTTGAATTCGAATTATCTGTATTCGTCGTCGAAATTTTGAGGGGATCAAAGTTTGGACAATATTTTCTTTTACGCTTTCTATTCTGTTTCCAGATCAAAGTATCACTGCATGGTTGTGTGCATCTTTTGGTTTCAATTCGATTTCGATTCTGTCATATATTCTCTCCAGAGGGAGAGAAACATGTTTGCCTTTACAACGCAAAATATAAACTGATATTGAGGAGTTGTTTTGTTATAAAAACTACCATCCCCCGAAATCCACATGTAACTGTTCATTCTTTAGACAAAGACCTTTTGTTATTTACATCTGGAAACACAATGACTTTTCAACAAATTGCTGTGCACCCCAAGCTTACCTGTAACTGTCCATTCTGTTAACAATGAATTTATAGTATGTGTGCTACCTGTTTTGCACAATCTTTATTAAATTATCAGAACAAAGAGAATCGTGTTTTAAGTAGGAGAAAGGCCTCAAACTGTCCATTCTGTGAGAGAAAGAACTAATCTCCTGCCTACGGCCCTCGATTAGTTCTTTCTCTCTCAGAATGGACAGTTTTTGGCCTTTCTCCTTTACTTACATATTTGAATTTCAGACGTATAGAAATCGACGAACACAGAGGTTATGATTCATGTCAGTTTGATGGCAGCAATAGGGTTCCTTAAATCGCTTTAAAATCGTTTGTTGGATAGCTTTCTCTCATGTAACGAGAGAAATTGTATTTTATCGTTCTTGACAGGGTTACTCAGTGCCTTATTGAGTTAATGAAAAAGAATGAAAGAAGAAATTGATATTATCTGGATCTTATAAAAGTTGGGCTTGTAAAATAAAAAGAAGATTGAAAAAGCCTGAAATTGATTTTATAAACAGCATATGAAAACCACTAAGTAACATAAGTAGCAATGAAAATTGATCAAAATTAGTTAGGTAAACCATGCGGAGGTAATGGTTCGTCTTTCTAGTTTTCTAACAAGACACAAGAATTCGTTATTTCAATTTTGGCCCCAGGAGAAGCAAAATAAAAAAATTACAAACATGAAACAGACGAAGAAGGGGGGGGGTCCAAATTACAGAACAAACCTGATCTGAAATATTAGAAGAAAATTCCCGGCGAGCTTGAAATAAAAGATACCACTGTCATTGAGTCAAATGCTGAAAGAAATTTGTCATACTAATAGTTAATCCATTATTTACACACTGAATTGATTTTTCCGTCATTTCCCGATCATGTCAAGGAGCAAACGGCGGATGAGACCGGTCGGAAGGGTATGCTAACTCCTCCATGACACCTTATCCCACCTCTGATGTGTTGGAGGCCTGTGTTTGCTCCGCTCTTAATTTTTATTGTTTTTCTGGACTTTTGAGCTTAAGAACCCTCTCTACACTGCACACTAAAGAGTTCTGATTCTGGTATTTTTCTGCAGTTAGAGTGATCTGCCCTTAGATCTAAATTCTTAATTTAAACAGAAATTTACAATATATTACTCAATTTGTAATTAATTCAAGTATTTTTAACATTTTAAAAGGCCAAGATAAATTAACTAAACATGTTATTTACATGTATTTTCTCTACTGAAGTAATAAATTGTGATTTCTTTTCACTGATGCTGTGTTGTCTTTGAACATTTTCCCCGGGGGTAAATGCAACGCACCATACAGTGAAAATTGGATAAATAAGCTCAATATTAATTCCTTTATACGATATATTTTTCTTAATGTCCCCCAAAAAATTTGCACTTGTGTAGAGAGGGTCCTTAAATACTGTGTGTTGTCTCCATATATTTCAAATTAATTGTATAATCATTGAAAAATTCATCTACAAGAAATATACTGAATATGGATATTGTACAATT